CCCGCCCAGCCCAATTCATACTTTACAATAACGACTGTTACATCATAATTCACATCGCTCAATTAAGGAAGTCTTTAGAACCAACCGTTAGCGATAAATAACATACCAAATTTTGTTGCATGAATTTCGGGACACCTTGTATTAATATGTAATTCATGTCTCAATATCAACAGTAAATTGAATGGACTTTTTATTTGCACATAATCACATCAAAATTTCAGTCCGGAGAACTTACAGAAACTTGAGAATGACACTGAAATCTTGTTTGAATTCTTGTTTGAAAACTAAAAACTAAAACAAATAAGTATTTTTACTTTTACGTATTTCCCGAGCTTTTATATTTAGTGTTACTATTGAGTATTAATTTTATTCTTTTGTTTTCTGTTCATATTTCATCAGTAAAGTGAGTCTTGTTCTGTTTGATTCCAAACATCCTTGATATCTATTAATGACTAACCACTGATTTTAACAAAATTTTTGTTAGATAGGCATATAAGCACATTAGGGCATGTCTCATTCACTTTATAATTCAAAGCCATAGCCTACTGCTCCAACTTTTTGGTAGCCAAAATTAGAGAATAAGATAAGATTAGAAACATCTTATTAAATCTATTAGATCTTTCTCAGTGGCTGGAAGATGAAACACAAATGTTGACAATACACCTATTCATTAAAAAATGAAATCGGAATGTTTATGACATAACAACAGGTTTTTTAAAGTGTTATTTGGGCAAAACATTCTGTCAAAAAAATACATATTCAATTAATCATCAAAATTTATTTTGTTTCCTTCAAAATAGGCTCCATTTGAAGTTATACACTTTTTCCAATGAACAACACAATCGTCAAAGCACTTTTTAAACACACATTCCGGTATGGACTTCAACTCCTTCAGCAATTTTTGTTTTATGACTTCTATTGACATAAAACGTGTTCCACATAGAGGTAATGTTAGTTTGGGAAAGAGGTTCGATAACATTAATTGACTTTTTGGTCAAAAATTTATTCACAATTATCGCGTTATGTGATGGTGCATTATCGTGGTGCAAAATCTAAGAACTGTCCTTCTAAAAATCTGGTCTTTTGCAGCAGATACTCTCTTAAATGTCTCATAACGCGCAGATAATGTTCTTTGTTCATTGTTTCTCCATCCGGAAAGAATTCTGTGTGGACAACACCACGATAGTTAAAGAAAACAGTCATCATGACTGATTTTTGAATGATTTTCACGTGGTTTTTTGCTTTCGGCTCATTAGAAAAAAGCCCCATTGAGAGATTGTTGACTCGTCTGCATGTCAAACTCATTATGCGTTGTATGAATAGAGAATCCAAAATAACTCGTTCAATTATGTCTTCAGCAACTTGTTTGTGATGCTCTTTTTGAAGAAAATTCAACTCTTCAAACCGTCTACTAAAATTATGCACACTGATTCGTGAGGTATGTTTAGTTCTTATGACAGCTCTCTTGAACTATAATGACCATTTGCAAGTACATTTCCTTCACTTTATCAATGTTTTCTTCAGTTGAAGACGTTGAAGGACAACCAGAACATGGCAAATCATTCGTATGCTTGAGTTTTTGTTGAAATGGAATTACCGTACGTCTTCTCCAACATTTTCAACAATTCAGCACAAGAAATTCCGTTGATACAAAATTTTAAGCAAACTCTTCAACAACATAGTAAAAACCGTGGAACATACTTTAGGTGGATTAACAAAATTAACAGCTGTAAACAAACTACTTAACGGGTCCGAATTTTTTAAATAACAGAATGTATATGCTGTTACAGGAAGATCTAGAAGAATGTTCTAGTCTCAAATGCCCAATAAAAATATAAAGATACTTTAGAAATTAAAAAAAAAAAAACAAATATTCTTCGATGAAGATATGACATATTCATATCTAAATGGAATAAAACACCAGTTCAATGGAAACATGATTTTTGAAATAAAAAAATGACTAAAAGTGACAGTAATATTTTCTGGTTGATTACAGACTTTTATGTTTGTCATTTGGCTAGCACTCTTTGCCAGTACTACAAAAATGGATTATTTGTGTTTCAGGTCACTCTAAGTAAAAATACCCTAAACAAAATTAAAAAAAAATGTAGGTAGGCACTTTTTTCATTTCTGCACAAAAAGAAATGGTCAACTTTTGGCCATACTTATGAATTATAAAATGATTGTGACATGCTTCCAGAAGGCTTTTTGAGACCTAAACAAAGGTCATTCAAACTGATTCACCCCCAAAAAGGGGATGGAATTTTTTAAACACTATATTATTTTTTGCTTAATCAGCTTTTATATTTAAGTTAAAATTCACAATCAGTCATTGGAACATTACACAGAATAGCAAGTAAGTATTGTTTCAGATGTTGAATATATGAATGGACACAATGTAAAATAAACTGTATACATTGCAAATCACATAGTGGTCAAAAAACAATATTAGTAATCAACGCATGGTACCCATATACGGAGTGTACGGGAAAATGTGGGAAATCTCTCGGGTGCAGACAGAACATGAAAAAATAAGATGACAAGTTCCTATAAAATTTTTTCGTACAGGCCCTCTCTACGGAGATATGTGTCCCTGAAGGACGCCGTTGGAAATCGTTTTTTCTTGAATAACTTTTAAGGTACTTAATACAATTTAACAAAAATTTTATATGATGGACACTGGTAAGGAGCTCTTAAAATAGTGTTAAAATATATTTAGCTTTTTTAGTATACCAGGGACGGGCTAAGCTTTACAACTTAATGCCTAAATTTTTAACACCCTGTATGATAAAGATTTTAAAATAATAAATCTGAACCTTAGACTAAAAAAAAAGGTTCTCTTGATTATTGTTGATAAAATGAACCGTTTACGAGAAAAAGAATAATAAACGAATTCATGTTTTATTTTTAATAAAAAGGGCCACAATTTCTATTTTTTTTTTTTTTTTCTTGACGACAAAGTGACATCGCTGACACATTGATCTTTCATTTCGTTAGTAATTTACTGATTTTTGGATTTCGTGGTGAAATATGGAATACACGTTTATTGAGTATGCAAATATGCATTTCATGTATGGCCTTGCGTCTTGCAATTCTTTACAAGCCAGAAGATTATATCATGACAGATTTCCTAATCGCGCTCTACCAAATCAGAAGACATTTCAACGAGTTGACCAACATCTAAGGGAGAATTTCTCCATATTTGTAGGAAATTTTGGAAAAAAAAATAGTACTGATGCTGGTCTGAGAAGAACCATACATACGCCACAATTAGAGGAAAATATTTTAATTGCTGTAGGACACTCCATCAATGAGCACTCAAAAATTATCAGCACAGTTTAATACATTGAAAACAATAGTACATGAAGTTCTTCAAGAACAGCCCTTATATCCATACCATTTGCAAAAAATACATGAACTGATTTCCAGAAGATTTTCCTTGTAGAATGCAGTTTGCAAATTGACTATTGGATCAGCAACGAAATAATGTAAACTTCATTATCACTATTCTTTTCACGGATGAAGCAAGGTTTACCAAAAATGGTATCACCAATTTACACAACACACATGTATGGTCTGATGAAAATCCTCATGCCACTATTGCTTCGCATCATCAACATCAGTTCCAATCAATTAACATCTGGGCAGGAATCATTGGCAATATTTTAATTGGACCATTCGTATTGCCGGAACAATTGAATGGACAACTTTATTTGGAGTTCCTTCAGAACGCTTTTCAAGATTTAATAGAACACTTACCAATTGAAACCCGCCGAAACATGTACTTTATGCACGATGGGCACCACCTCATTTCAGCATTGGTGTGCGGGAGCACCTGAGTATCATCTATCAAAACCGTTGGAAGGACCTATTGCCTGGCCTTCTGGATCTCCCGACCTAACGCCTCTGGATTTTTACCTGTGGGGACACCTCGTACAATTAATGTATTCCACTCCGGTTGACACTAGGGAGGAACTTCTACAGAGAATCACATTTCATTGTGATGTGATAAGGAACTATGCTGGGTTATTGTAGCAGCTACATCAGTCCTCAATTCGTCATGCCCGTGAGTGTATCAGACTTCACGGAGCCCATGTTGAACCCTCTTATGAAGTTTTTCAATAATTTCGTTAAGGTGCCTCTTGGGACACCATTGCGTTTTTTTTAATTTTGTATTTTTTCAGATTAAACATCTTAAAATGAAACTTTCCTGTTGTTTGAATGACTTTTGTATCGCATTGTATTGTCGAGAAAAAAAAATAGAAATTATGGCCCTTTTTACATATTAAAAATAGAACATGAATTCGGTTATTATTCTTCTTCTCGTAAACAGTTCATTTTATCGACAATAAACAAGAGTACCTTTTTTTAGTCTAAGGATGAAGCTACCCAGATTTAATATTTTAGTCTTTATCATACAGGGTGTTAAAAATTTAGGCATTAAGTTCTAAACCTTAGCCCGCTTATGATAAACTAAAAAAGCTAAATATGTTTCAAGAACACTATTTTAAGAGGTCCTTACTAGTGTCCATCACATAAAATCTTTATTAAATTATATCAAGTCCTTTGCAAGTTATCCAAGAAGAACTGATTTCCAGCGGCGCCCTTCAGGGACACATATCTTTGTAGGGCCTGTACAAAAAATTTTTATAGGAACTTGTCATCTTATTTTTTCATGTTTTATCTGCACCCAAAAGATTTCCCACATTTTCCCGGACACCCTGTACAGTTAAAATTTAGAATTACGTAATGGTTTTTAATAGAAGCTAAATCAAAATAGTCTAATCTGAGTTACAAATGCAAAGCTGTTGCTGTATAAGACTAAACATGCAAAGAACGTTCCTGTCAAAATAATTCATCAATATTTCTAACTTGTCAATATTTTTATATCAGATTATATTTTGTATTACAGTAATCACACTATGTGCAAAGCAAGCAACTGACAGAAGTTATGGTTTACATTATTACATTTACATGTAAAATAAAATCTCTTTACTTACAGCACCTGAAGCATCAGTAGTCCATGAATAATGCAAAGTATCAAGCACTGAACATAAGGCTTCTAAGGTTTTTTCATAAGAAACTGTCACGTAAAATCTTGTCATCCTCTTGCTTAAATTATGGAAATTATCTTTCGTAATAGGACTTTGAGTGAATTGTATCATAAGGTCTTCATATTGAGTGGGCTGCGAAAAACATACTTGTTCCCTTCTAGTGGTCTTCAAATCATTTATTAATTGATCAATTGAAGATGGTCGATATGTTATAATCGGTTGAGAAAGAGTTACTTGTGGAGTGTCTCTATTATGTTTAGTTTCAGCTTCAACCATAGAGTTCCATCTTTTAGTTGGTCTCTCAACTGACCCATCCACATTATCTTTGCTGGATCCTAAAACGAGACAATATTAATCAGTGTTATGATTAAATTTCTTGAAATAAAAATCCCTAAATTACATGTTTTTTGTTATTAAGCTTAGCTAAAAACAATCTAACAAACTATACAAAATTCAAACAAAATGGGTCTTCTACGTACAGGAAACTTACCATAATGTCCTTGATGTTACTCATGCATTTCTGCTTTGGTAATCTAGCTTTATGAATTTCAAATCAGTCATACCGCTAAGTTGCCAAAGCAAAAACATATGATAAAACTTGATCTAAATTAAGCAAATATTGCTCAGTTTGTTGTTATTGAAGATTTTTGCGTAATTATTTAGTAGACCAATATGTTTGGATTTGAATGATTTTATAATAAAAACGAAGTAATGCTTTGTGGGCTTATAATCGAATGTTCATGAAAATTATTGAAAATAATCACCGTCTCTGTCACACATAGAGTGAAGTTTGGTTATAGCGACATTTAAAGAACCATAAAATTATTTTGTATTAGAAATGAGGTAACAAGTAAAATGAAAATTTTGTCCTGTGTCTACACATGACTGTTCATCTCAAAAACTTTTTAGTATGTCGGGTACATGGCTAAAAACGCTAAAAAGCTGCATATTTTGATTGGAATGTGCCACATTCTGTGGTCATAGTTGATGCCAACAGGCAACTTTCCAGATAGGGAGCCACTTGAAAATCCGTGTAGAACACCAAAATGGCGGCCATTAAAGATGGCCGCCATTTGCTGCACTAATTTCCTTGTATCTCAGCTCCTAACAGTCCGATTTCGATTTTATTTTTTTTGTTTGAAAGCACATGTAAAGAGGACACTTTTTTGTCCCTATACATTTATCTCTACACCTTAAGGATTCTGCACATTTTTCAAAAAAATAACAAATATTTTTTAAATGTTAGGTCTCTTTGTAATTTGTTGATTTGTGGCGTTCTCTTATATTTATTTTCATTCTATTATGAAGGTTTACTTATTTCAAACATTAGACCTTCTTTGTTTCAGATTTGACATTTATCAAAATTTTTGAAAATGGCTTCAAGGCCTCTGCGGCTGGCAGATATTAACTCTGAATCTCCTTCTAGTACCAGTGCCATAGATTGGACAATATGTTGTTTATGTCAAAAATCTAGTGATGAAAACTTGATTTGCATTGCCACACACATTGCTGAATCACTTGTTGGTGATTCAGCAATGTGTGTGTGTACAGGACGCTTACAGAAAATTTAATGGAATTTCAGGATATAGGTGCAGTGCCCCATGGTTTGGATTTACAAAAATTAAATGAGGGAGATGGAATAGAAGGAAAATTTCGAAGAAACAATGCAAAGTGGCACAAAAAGTGTGACTTCAATAAAACAAAACTTGACAGGGCAAAGAAACGCAAACTTTCATCGTCCTTGCCCAGTACGTCATTTGAAGACAGTCTACAGGCTCCATCAGAATCAAACGAAAAATCAAGGTCTGGGGCCCGTACAACATTATCTATTAAAATGAAAGATGAAATATGTTTTATATGCAATAAGAAGGGTATTACTCGAAAATCTTTATATAAGGTTTCTTCTCTACAAGACGATAAAATTAAGAGATGTTCCGAAATTACCAATAACGTTGAACTTAAAGCGTTCCTCGAGGGTGGCGATTTAGTTGCCAAAGAAGCGAAGTACCACTCGAAGTGCTATACAAATCTGACAAATTGTCTGAGAAGATCAAGTGGAATAAAAGANAAAATTTAACTCAGGAGTTAACTTGTTCAGGAACAAGTGCAATAGTTCATTCCCTCTAATTTTAACTTTTGGAATGACCGAATGACCGTTTAACGAAATATTTGCTATTATTTTGCTAATATGTGTTATTATTTTAGATTACAATTAAAAGCAAATATACAGGGTGTTCCGAAATTTATGCAACAAAATTTGATCACAGATTCTTAAGACAAATATATGGGACCCGTATTTTTTATTTTTGCCAAATGGCCCCCTTCTTTCGGAGTTACAGCCCCCTGAAGTCCGCCCCTAAGAATAATCTTTTTTTATATCCCAGAACCCTGTTGTATGAGAATCGCTAAATTTGGTACACAGGGGGTTTTATGACATGTGGAATCTGATGGTGCTATGTTTTTTGGCGGGGAACCTCCTTAAAACAATTTCTCGTGAACTCCCTTGTCTTTGGAGGCCAAAAAATTTGATCGCATATTTAAATTTCTTAAAAATTATCAGTCCACTAGAAAGCCATTAAATTTAGAAACTTTTTGTTTCTTTATACTTTTTTCGTATATCGCGATGTTTTTGAAAAAAATGTCAAAATGTAATCAAATGCATATCGTGATTCGCCATTTTCCTAAAAAATATTGCGTTTAACGAAACAAATATCAAGAGACAAAAAGTCTCTAAATTCAATGGCTTTCTAGATAACTAATAATTTAAAAAAATAATAAAAACCATTGCAACCAACTTTATCTGGTTCCAAAGACAAGGGGCCCACGAAAAAGTGTCTTAATGGGGTTTCTCGCCAAAAAGCGTAGCATTGTAAGATTCCACATGTCATAAAACCCCTGTGTACCAAATGACCCCGCAGGTTCCTTATGGAAAATGGGTTCCAGCCGATAGTTCTGAAAATTTGGATTTGAATAGTTCTCGAAGCTTAGATAAAAAGTTGTCATAGGCACTAAGCTGAGAAAATTATATTTTTCGAAATATAGTCGCCGAAAGGTAGGAGTTATAGTACCGCGAGGTATAAATTGAAGAAGACTCATTGCAAGGTCAAATGAAGAGAAGCCGTGCAATCTGTCCAAAACACATATTTTTTAGATTGTCGGAGTTACTGAATCCAAATCAGCCATCCTTTCTTGTATACAGATGCTATACAGGGTATACAGTATACAGAAGGTGCTTAGGGAAAATGATGATGAATTTCAATTGGATGAACATATAGATGAACAGAACTTCTAAGAATACGAATTTTCTCAAGATTCCGAAATGCTGCAAGACATCAAATATTCATTAGTTATATCAACGTGGATGAATACTTAGATAATTATGGTGGTGATTAAGATAATGGTCCAATCCTAGCACATTATTGCACGTGTTACTCAGGGGCGAGAGTAGTAGGTACTTGTGCTCATGTGGCCAGTGTTTTTTGGTTTCTAGGCTATGCCCGCCATCAACCACATGTGAAGTACCTAGATGATCCGCTATTAAATACTACAATGATTGCAAATAATTAAATGATAATTGAATTACTTAATTATAATTTATGTTATACCTTTTATTTCAGACAATATTATTTCTTATTTGAAAATGATTCAGAACTAGGTTGGCCGTGGAACATCTTACAACCTGTTATCCTCTTAAGACTTCTCACTGTATACTTTGCAAATGCGCAATACAATATAATAAAATATATCCTAAAGCTGTAATAAAATATTATTTAATATTATTACAATATGACTACATATGTTTGAGACAGATTACATTTACAATGATCTTACAATGACCTTCATTTGATCTTGATGTGATCTTGAAACTCATCCGCACAGCCGAATGGATGGCAGATTCGGATTGAGTGACCCCGATAACGTAAGAAACATGTGTTTGGGACAGATTGCACGGCTTCTTTTCATTTGACCTTACAAGCTAAGATTCTCTTTATACTTCGCGGTGCTATAACTCCTAGCTTTCATCGACTATATCTCGGAAAATATAATTTTCTCAGCTTAGTGCCTATGATAACTTTTTATCTACGCTTCGAGAACTATTCAAATCCAAAGTTTCAAAACTATCGGCTGAAAGCCATTTTCCATAAGAAACCTGCGGGGTCCTTTAGTGATTCTCATACATGGTTTTGAGATATAAAAAAGACTTCTAAGGAGCAGATTTCAGGGGGCTGTAACTCCGAAAGAAGGGGCCAGTTGGCAAAAAGAAAAATACAGATCCCCTAAATTTGTCTAAAGAATCTATGACCAAATTTTGTTGCATAAATTTCGGGACACCCTGTAGTACTGTTTATCATTTCTTTAAATGTATTGTGTATACCGGTGCTTTGTTCTGAAACAATCTGTTATTTACGTCAAGTATGCTTTACTTTCAAAAAACATTTTTGTAATGAGGATGAATAATTGCAATGCATTTGAGTTAATTAATAACTAAATAGTATTAACCAAAAAGGAGAGAATAACGTGGAAAAGTAACTTCATTGATAGAAAATAAACTAATTTAGGTCAAACTATCTTAGCACAGTTTTGCTTCCTTAAAAAGTTACGGTTACTACAAATATATGTTTTTTATTAAATTTTTTAAGATAACACTTCAAAATTTTTCAATGAAATTTGATCTGCAGAAGTTTATTCGAGTACGTGAAAATGAACATGGGCATAACCGCATGTTCATTAAGAAATAATTCTTACCTAAAACATAAAGGTTACAAAGAATGCCTGAAAGAGTAATTTTTTGCCATTTTTTTTTCTTGTTGGCAGAGAGACAAAACGCAGGTGTCTCATAAAGTGTCACATTATTTACTGCAAAAAAGTATGATGTTGCATTTAAAAAAAATTATTTTTAATCAACTGCATCTAACTTAATTCTCTTCTTAAATTTGGAACTTTATTAGGCTTTTTAAAAAATTAGAGCAAGTAACCATTATTCGAAAATAGTCGAGGCCTATTGACATACCCTTAGAATGTAACTAATTTCACGCAAGAAAATATAAAGTCTAGTAAGCTTTGACTTTCAAATAGAGCTATGTTAATTTAAATAAAGTTCACCAAAAGATTAAGTTTAGTTGGACTAGAAAACTTCTACTCTGTAGAAAATTAAAATCCATTTCCTTCTGGAACATTTTAGCAACCAGCATACATTTTTGCAGTGAATAAGGTAAAAATTTTAGGAAACAGATTTTCTCGAAATGTCTACCTACCAATAAAAAATATAACAAAACCAATAAATTATTTGAGGTGTTTTTGATCCTATGTTATATAAATAAAATAAGCAGGCAGT